GAACAGCGGAGGGAAGGATTTGCACTGGAGGCTTTTGCAATAGTACACATCTAGGATGTAGAGGACTTGAATGAGGATGAGAATGGAAAAAAGAGGAATAAAGGAAAGATGCAAGAGATGTGGAGAAAGAAGGGCGAGAGATGTTTATGGAAGAGTAGACAAAAAGAGTTTTAGATGATTGGACTTTTCTGATAATATAACTACATATTTCTTTTTTGTTCCCCTTGGAACTGAAAAACAATAATTTTTTTTCCTTTTCTAAATTTCTTTTTTTCTTTCTTGATACGTCTACATAAACATTAGGTGAAACCTCTTCTGGTATAACACACTAAAAACTGGTTATGAAAAGTTTTTTAAAGCAACAAAATTTTTTCTCTATGACTGAGTTGCTGGAAAAGGAGATAATTATTATTCAGGGGAGTCCAATGATACACAAAACTAAGTTAGTCCCAAGCCCACCATTTTTTTCAAGGCACTTGTTGATTCCTGGTTCCTCATGGCCTAAAATTTGGGTATTAAGGCACCACTGGCCTGGCACAATGGCTCATGCCTGTAATTCCAGCACTTTGGGAGGCTGAGGCAGGTGGATCACGAGGTCAGAAGTTCAAGACCAGCCTGGGCAACATGGTTAAAAACACCATCTCTACCAAAAATACAAAAATTAGCCAGGTGTGGTGGCACGCCCAAGTAATCCCAGCTATTCGGGAGGCTGAGGCAGGAGAATCGCTTTAACCTGGGAAGCAGAGGTTACAGTGAGCCGAGATCGCACCATTGCACTCCAGCCTGGGCGACAGAGTGAGACTCCATCTCAAAAAAAAGGGTTGTGAGGGTCACTGACAGCAAAGAGGAGACAAAAACCAAAGCCAAAGCAGAGAGGCAAGTCCGCTCAAAGGCAGGACCACCAAAGGGTAATAGCCCCAGGAGTCAACTGGAAACAACTCTCTACAGAAAGAGTCATGGAGATACTCGCCTCTCATCTTTGTGTGAAAAAATAAAATAAAATAAAAAATAAGAGTCAATTATTCCACTGAAAATTCTTCCCACAAACCTACATTCTTAGAGTTTGAGGTCCAAAATCCTAACTGCCATTTTAATTGAAAACCCCATTCAAATGTAATTTGATTGATTCCTAGTTGGTAGTATTCCAAGAAATGGGGCAGAAAAAAATCAAATATGCTCTAGAAAAAGTCACTTTAAGCACAGACTTAAAGAATTCTCAGACACAAAGTTCTAAGATCACAACATAAAACAAATTATCAGAGACGGAAACAAACAATAAGTAAGAGTTGGCAGGCAGAGCAAACATCAGAGTAAGACTGTAGAGTCTAGATTTGGTCATAATCAGACCCAAAATAATGGATGGGTGTGTCTAGTATATTTTTTAAATTGAAGAGTATTGAAAAATAAGACACTGGCATAAAAGACTGTTAGAATTGGCCAGCTAGACATAAAACTGAGACAAATAGAGGTTCTAGAAATGTAAAAAAAACACAATTAAAAAACAAATTAGACTCAGCAGTGGAGAGATTTAGTGAACTGGAAAATGGAGAATTAAAAAAAATTACAAAGCACTGCCAGATAGACAAAAGGAAAATATGCAAACAGAGGTTAAGACACAGTGAGAAAGTCTGCCATTCTCAATCAACTGATTTAAAAAAAATCTGAAGCAAACATGAACTATATCAACTGCAAAATTTAGGTAGACTTCAAAAGCTGCCCCCTGCTAGGCAGAATATTAATATTAGAAGAGCATGGATCATTGTTGAGTCCCAAAGCTGAGAGGAAAGGCTCAACTTCAGGCAAAAACAGATGAAAGGGAAAATCTGACCATCCTCCTCTCCTTCCATTCAAACTGATAGTGCCATATTAATATAACCCAAAAAAGAAAAAAAGGGAGCTGGGTCCTAAAGGCCACAAGCCTAAGGATGAACCTGAAATAGGGCCATGGACAGCGAATGGTAGGTCATTTGTGTTCAGCAGCACCGATTTTTGTTCACTCTCCCTGCTCATATAACCCAGCCGGAGTTATCAGGAAAACGAATAAATCCCCCTTCCTCCTCTTCAGAAGTGGCCAAATATTTGCCTCTAAGAAGACGTCAGAGAACCCCACCCTGTGTCTTCTGGGTGTGGACATTCTTCTACAGAATTAATCATATTATAGAACAGAAGTCAGCAAGCTTTTTCCACAAAGGATCAGATAGTAAAGGTTTTAGATCTGTGGACCCTAGGACCCTACGATCTGTATTCCAGCTACTGAACCTTGCCATTGTAGTGCAAAAGCAGCCATATACAAATAAAAAATAAATAAGCACAGCTATGTCCCAACAAAACTTTACTTATAAAAATAGGCTGCAGTTTGCTCACCCCTGCCATAAAATATTATCTAGGAGTACAAATGCTGGCAGTATTCGAGAAAAGGACCTGTTCTAAAATAATATTTTAATCATCACTAATTTTTAAACACACACTATAATAATAATTGAGAAAAAATGTGGCATAGCATTCTGACATAGTGATAAAGTAAAGGTCTGGGAAATCTGACCCAGTGAAGCCACAGCTGCCCAATTCATACTACATCCACATGAGGAGGCAGATTATAACAGACAGAGCGAAATGTCTCTGTCTGGGGGCACTACATGTGATGAAAACGTCATTATTTTCACATAGTGAAAGTCACTTACTCCTGAACTAGAGATGTCCCAAAGCTCAGGCTGAGAAAAAGTTCAAGAAGGAAGCACAGCATTAGAAAGCAGATGACATTCAAGGAAGTTTACCAAAGGACCCTTTCCTTTAAATTCTGTGCCTGTGGATTCCCCGGTAAGTCAGAATTCCATCATTTTTTAAATTACAAATACAATATACTACTTTCTTTTGCCATTTTTAACAAAATAAGTACTTTATAAATTCTCACTTTTGCTGGGAGAATAAGGAAATATACATTATAAGATTTTTACATAATAAAATTTGTTTCTGGCTTTGGCTAAATTTTTCATCAATGTAAAACAATACCTAATGTTACTGATTGTTTACTGTGTCCAGGCACTCTTCTAAACACTCTACATGTGTTTACTAAAGCCTTGTAACTTAACAAGGTGGGCACTAGACATATTTGCACGGTATACATTTGACCAGTGACAGACACTGAAAATGTCGATTTGCTTTCCTCACTACCCCCATACTCACTCCAAAATGTCCTAGATCAAGTTCAATGAAGAACTTACCAGATTGGGACCAAAGAAAAAATCAGAGTAAACTGGCCGGGTGAGGTGGTTCTCGCCTGTAATCCCAGCACTTTGGAGGCCAAGGCAGGCAAATCATAAGGTCAGGAGTTCGAGACCAGCCTGGCCAATATGGTGAAACCCTGTCTCCACTAAAATGCAAAAAAAAAAAAAAAAAAAAAAAAAAAAAAAAAAAAAACATTAGCTGGGTGTGGTGGTGCATGTCTGTAATCCCAGCTAACTCGGGAGGCTGAGGCAGGAGAATTGCTTAAATCCAGGAGGTGGAGGTTTCAGTCAGCCAAGATCACACCACTGCACTCCAGCCTGGACAACAGAGCAAGACTCCATCTCAAAAAAAATCAGAATAAACTAAGAACAATTTGTCTTCCAAACCTCTGTTCTTTTGCTAGGAGAAAGGTAAAATTAAGATGAGCTGAAGAATAGGAAGAGATCTTTGTGGGTCATATTCAAGTTCCTGGATGTTAAGAGTTTGTTGCATGAACGTTGACTCCTGGTTTTGGAGGCTCTATTAGACAGCCATACTGCAGTGGCACAGTGGTACCCCAGGAACAGAAGACTGGCATCTTGCTTACCAAGTTCTAATCTGCTTAGCCTTGAGGTTTGCTAACAAAACTTGGGGAAAGGCATTTCGGAAGGAAGGGATGGGTTTTGGCAGAAGAGAGCAAGACTTAGCCCCAAAGTTATTCTCACCACATACACACCAGGTCTCCTGAGAGGTATGGACAACTAGATCACAGTAGGGACATCAAAAGATGAGTAGGGATGGAAGGGAAGGCTTGTGCCAAATGGACCACATGCATCAGAGGCACATGCATGGGAGTTATAATTAAGATGGCTTCGAATGGACGATGTATCAAAAAACTTCACAGAAACCACAGATGCCTGGACAGTGGTTCAGGACCATGTCCATCACCATCCAAATCTACATGTCCCCCTCATCAGGAGATATGGGTGAAATTGATCAATGATGATGATCAACTTTGGAGTGTGCAGCAAACTAGCCATCACCAATATACAGGTAGCCAAAAGAAGCCTGCTTCCCTAACACTACATCTACTTTTCTCCCTTCAGATACAGTGAAAGGAGAGAGGATAACATTCCACATCCCTTTCTTCCATAAGTAGCTCCCAAGTGAATGTGTGTGTCAGTTCAGATCCTCCTGGAAGCAGATGCCAAGGCAGAATTAGACATGCAAATGATTAGTTGGGGAAAATGACTACGAATAATAAAGGAGAAGGAACAGGAGTAGGAGGGAAGAGGCTTCAGACCATGATGCTCATCTGACACCTGTGAAAGGAAAGAGGAAGGGAAGAAAAGTGGTAAGGCAGAGCTCCAGACTGCAGTGCAGATCTGAGAGTCTTGACCAGGTCAACAAGGTGCCCCAGAGCAGTTTGCCCATTAGAAGAATCCCATGTTGGACAGGAATAGCTAAGCTCTAGTACCCCCGCCATGCTCAGTTATTGCCTGAGAGCAGCCCAGTGACCATGTAGCCTCATCACACTCACTTCAGTGAATCCCAAAGGTGCAGCATCTGGTCAGCTGACTGTTCTCTTTGCAGTATGTTCTCACTTCAAGGAAAATAAGAGCAGCGTGCACCAATAGCTGCCACAAGATCTGTTCAGTGTATCCACGGATAGTGACACAGGCTTCAAACTTTGATATAAGAGTGAAATTATAAAGACTTTTCTCCCAGCCAGAGTTAATAATAAGATTAGTTACAACCTATTCCCATTTAGCAAGTTATAGAAAGTAATACGATACCTTGTTGCTCTGTTCTACATCAATAGATTTTCACATTCACTTCCTCCCAACTCATTCAACACGTGTGTCCCGTCAACACCTGCTGGGAATCAAGACCTCCTTTAGACAGACAGCAATCCAGATAAATTATCATTTGGACATTGCTTTTAATAATTGGAAAAAATGGTTTGTGAATTCTTTTGACTGGTTTCTGTCTTACCATCTCATTCATGTTTAAAGAATAAACATGTAGTCAAGAAAGAGATATCATCCCTTATTTGTGATAGATCCTAAACCAAGCACACAGTGATATGAAGTCTCGAATATTATTATTTTACTTAATTATAGAGGCCAGAGGAGGTTTATTTGAAAAAAAAAATGGCCCAGAATTGAGATCTGAAAAGGGGAGGGAAGACCATTCCAGGCAGAAGAATCCACTTATGCAGTGGACCTCAGTGACTGGGCCAGAAGTGCAGACTTCAGTGTCACTGAGATGAAGGAGGTGAATGAGAGTCAAACTTTCTCATGAGTTTTCATTATTCTAGGAGTAACTTTGGGATTTTAATAGGAGGACTGGGATAAAGAGATGATATGATCAGATTTGTACTTTGAAAAAAATCTCTCTGGATGAAGAATCGAGGTCAGATGGGAGAATGGATGAGGGTTAGGTCAGAGAAGGTTAGGTGTAGTATCATTTTCAGTAGCAGTAGCAGCTCAGGTGAGCGATGTGGGTACCTTACACTAGAGTGTGGATATGGAATAAAAAGTACATCAATTCAAAAGGTGATTAGATGGCAAAATATCCAAAATATCCAAAATTCGGTGATGAATTAGATATGGAAAGTGAAAAGTTAAGGTGTCAAGATAACTTCTTAGTTTCCAGTTGGCACAACTGGAAGAATGATGATCGCAATCACTAAAATAATAAATACCAAGAGAGAATCAAGTTGGAACAAGGATATGAGTTCACAATGAAATGGTTTACCAGTTAGGAATCTTTCAGTTGCAAGTGATTAAAAAGGCCAACTCAATCTAGCTTAAACAAGGAAGGGAATTTACTGGCTAATGTAATTGTAAAATATACAAGAAGGGCTGACTTCAGCAGTGGCCTCATTCTGGAATAAAATGATGTCTCCAGGAACCATTCCTTAGCTGTACTTCTTCTGTGTTGGTTCTTAGTTGTACATTCTCAGATTTTGCAAGGTGGCTCCTGGTGGCACCAGGCTTACATCATCACAAGAACTAGTTCAGTGAAAGAGGAAAGTCTCTTCTCAAAATGCCAAACACAAAATGCAAAATCAAATCTCCTCAGCATTTATGGTCTCAATTTGGGTATAGGCTCAACCCTGAACTATTCACTGTGGTGATGAAATGTGCTAATTAGACCCTGGACCCTGAACTTAAGGCATTTTCAAAAAGAAGTTTATGGATGAAAGTGGAGAAGGATTACATATTTCAACATAGAATCAGATACCACTGCCACAAAAAGGATAGATGGATACTGGGTAGCAAAAACAAAATATAATTATCTCCTACAGGTGAACATGATTTCTGAGATTAACAACAGGTTCAATGTGGTGGACATTTAAGGAAATGAAATCCTCATTGATAAAGATGGGGTACTTGAAATCAGCTCCAAGCATTGGCAAGGCAAGACTATGGGCTATCAGTAACAACTGGCTTGATACAGAAACGCAGACTGCATGGGGCAAAAGCAACATCAGACACATTCAGGAAAATCTGTTTCTCATGAAGGTTCTCTGGAAAGTCAAACAGATGAATTGCTGTAAAACAATCAGTTGATTTTTTAAATTTATATTTCATTCACATTACATGATGTGGACTGAATTAGTCTTAGTTTTTCTATTTTTTATGGACTCCTCCAGGTATTAATAGGGATATGTAAAGACTCTGGCATCTAGAGTAAACAGAAGCAGATGTGCAGCCTTCTTATTTCCTGGTGTTTTAGTCAGACCTATTTCTGCCTGAGAATGCCTAATGTTAAGTACACAAGAAACCTTTTGGGGGCTCTTGGGATGAATGAATGTGAAAAGTATATTCCACTAGGGGGTGCTAAGCCTCAAAATAAAAATACAAACCAAGTATCTTTGATTTTCCCATAACCTTTCAACAATCATTGAACAACTAACTGTCTTAAGCTGGATTCTCCAGAAAGCAAAGCCTTAGACAAAGTTTATGTGCTACTACTTTATTATAGGATGCAATCCCAGGAAGTGAGAGTAAGGGAAAAGGGGAGTGAGGCAGGGAAAAAATGAGAGCCCATACAAGAATATGTATTACTGAGCTGGTCATCTCTTGGTATTAAAAACTACTGAGTCCTTGATCTTATAGTGCCTTTCACCAAGAGGCCATGTAGAAAACTGCTTCATAGGCTGGGCACGGTAGCTCACGCCTGTAATCCCAGCACTTTGGGAGGCTGAGGCGGTTGGATCAGGCTGAGGTCAGGAGTTTGAGACCAGCCTGACCAATATGGTGAAACTCCGTCTCTACTAAAACTATAAAAATTAGCTGGGCATGGTGGCACGTGCCTGTAATCCTAGCTACACGGGAGGCTGAGGCATGAGAATTGCTTGAGTCCGGGAGGCGGAGGTTGCAGTGAGCCGAGACCGTGCCACTGCACTCCAGCCTAGGCAACAGGGTGAGACTTTGTCTCAAAAAAAAAAAGAAAAGAAAAAACTGCTTCATATAACAGTCCATCCCATCCAGACTGGATCAATCTTAACCCAGTGAGGCATAAATTTCTCTCATTTGATTAAGTTGCATATATGTTGACACTAAGCACATCCTTGGGGTCTCACGCCTCAGTCTCTACAGAACAGAAGGTGAAAGGTATGCAGAGAGGACATAAAGCAAAGAGATGTCAGGTTGTTCTCCTGTGGAACTGGTCCCAATTCGTCCACAGCGGGTTACTCTACAGCTGGCGCTGGAACAAGAGGTCAAAGACCTCAAAGATAAGTGAGAAGCACACAAAAGATGTTTAATAAAATAAGGAATGCTCCGAATATATAATGCACAATTAAGAGGGAAACAAACGCCTTGCCAAAGACATCATGCCTTGCAAACAGCAGCTGAGGATGTTTGTGCTTTGACTTTAAATATTAATTATCACTTCTCATTTAACAAGACAACTAGTTGTAGGTTTCTTACATATTTCTTAGTTGAAAATACATTCCTTCAGACCTGCTAGTCACCTTAAAACTTAGATTTCTTGGCCGGGCGCGGTGGCTCACACCTGTAATCCCAGCACTTTGGGAGGCCGAGGCTGGTGGATCACGAGGTCAAGAGATCGAGACCATCCTGGCCAACATGGTGAAATCCCGTCTCTACTAAAAATACAAAAAATTAGCTGGGCATGGTGGCGCGTGCCTGTAATCCCAGCTACTCAGGAGGCTGAGGCAGGGGAATTGCCTGAACCCGGGAGGTGGAGGTTGTGGTGAGCCAAGATTGCGCCATTGCACTCCAGCCTGTATAACAAGAGTGAAACTCCGTCTCAAAAAAAAAAAAAAAAAAAAAAATTAGATTTCTTATTTATCTCTAAGTTAAGCTTGTTTACCTTTGCCAAATCAATGACATATTGTAATTGGCTGAATAAAACAGTGTTGCTAGTTTTAAAGAATTGGGATTTTAAATTGTTTTTCAAGCTGATTCATTTTGAAATACTTATAACATTTCCTGGAATATTAGAAACAGGGCCAAGCATGGTGATTCACGCCTGTAATCCCAACACTTTGGGAGGCCAAGGCGGGTGGATCACTTGAGGTCAGGAGTTCAAGACCAGCCTGGCCAACATGGTAAAATCCCATCTCTATTCAAAATACAAAAATTAGCCAGGTGTGGTGGTGGGTGCCTGTAATCCCAGCTACTCAGAAGGCTGAGGCAGAATTGCTTGAACCTGGAAGGCAAAGGTTGCAGCAAGCCAAGACTCTGTCTCAAAAATAAATAAATAAATAAATATTTTTAAATAAATTGACTAAATTAAAAGCTTTCAAAAGTCTAAATGATACAAAAAAAAGTATATGCAAAAAGTGTCACATCCGCCTATATTCCCTCTACCCCATTCATCTCCACCCCAACAATTCCTTGTATATAACCAGGTTTATGTTTTCTGATTTATACCTTTTGTTTCTTCTTGTAAATATAGGCAAATATATGTATATTTCATTTTCCCTTCTGCCTTACATGGAAAGTAGCATATTCTAAATGCAGCTTTTAGAAAATTCCTAATAAGCATATTCCCATACATTTTATCTTTTAGAAAAACAATGCTTTATATAACAAGATTTGATCCTTATAAGAATTACCGTATTTCCTTTCTTCTTGATCTTCACACTCCTTTGTTTCTGCATCTTTCTTTTCTACCTTTAAGTATATTCAGATCTCCTTCATCAGGAAAACGTAAAACCCAAGTAAGAGCAAAACGTTTAGTGGAATATTTTCAAAATTCCATTTTGTAAAACACTGGTTCCTTAAAACATCAATGTTCAAAAATTTTTTCCACAGTGCAATGCACATCTGCAAACTAAAAATCCAGAGAAGTAAAATAATAAACTACGTTAATTTAATTAAAGATTTTTTCCAGCATATTTAATCACGTAATCATTTTTCTGCCAAATACCTGTTAACATCCCATGGAATGAGGAAGTACTCTGGGAACATTACTCATCACTCATTTGAATCAGGGCTTTTTGGAATCCCAGTCATTCCTTACTGCTAAATGGAGTAGACTTTCTAGAGGTCTTATTCTCTTTGCCTTGCTCCCAGAATTACAATATGTGGCCAAAATGGATTATTCCGTTTCCCCAATTGCTCTCACACTTTTTCTCATGCAGTTTACCCTTCCTGGGTGCTTTTTATTGTAAGATCACTCACCTTTTGAAATCTTAATAGTCCTTCAATGTCTGTCAATGCTACTTCTTCCATGATGGCTTTTAATTTTTTAATTTTTATTTTTTAGATGAAGTCTTGCTCTGTCAGCCAGGCTGGAGTGCAGTGGTGCAGTCTCAGCTCACTGCAACCTCTGCCTCCCGGGTTCAAGTGATTCTCCTGTCTTAGCCTCCCTAGTAGCTGGGATTACAGGCACCCACCACCATGCCTGGCTAATTTTTGTATTTTTAGTAGAGATGCAGTTTCACCATTTTGGCCAGGCTGGTCTCGAACTCCTGATCTCAGGTGATCTGTCTGCCTCAGCCTCCCAAAGTGCTGGGATTTCAGGCGTGAGCCACCGCACCCAGCCTCCTTACCATTCTTAATAAATGACTAAAAAGAGCTGGGATGTTAAGAGACCAGATTCTAATTCTGACTTTGAAAATACCTAGAACACATCATTTCATCTCTTCAGGTCTCCCCGAGCCCCTCCCCTAGGTGACCAGAGGGACCTAGAGCAAGGTGAGGAAGCCCGTGCCCTCTGACTTCAAGTCAACCTGAGTATTTTTGTCCCCAGCCTGCAGCATCCTGGGTGGGTTTAGGCCCATTCCTTATGCGGCCACTAGCTGGCAGGATTGCCACATGGTGTGCTTGGCCACTCCCCACCTGCACCTTCATCTTCTCCAGGAAGGATTCGCCCACAGGCTGATTCTGGACCAAAACAAACAGAACATTCCACCTGGCAGCAGCCTGGTCCCCAGCACTATTGTGCCTAGGAGACTCTGATTTGCCTCAAGCCCAGAGAATAAATTAGGAGTCCAAGGGACAGCTGACTCCACCCCATGTACGACGCTCCAGTGCAGACCTTCAGGTGACGCAGGTCAACACCAACCCACCCTCTGGAAGATCCAACACTACCTCAGAAACCACACCTAACGCCTCATCAGATACTAATGGAAATGTGCGATACAAGGCTTATAATATGTGGCATGTTACATTAATTTCTCTGATCCTCAATTTATTGCTTTGTAAAATGAATGTGAACTGGGTTTCTGAACTCTGCCTCCCAATGCTATAGGCAGTGTAGGATCCTGGGGAGAATATGGTGTTTTTGAACACACAGATGTGCTTTAAATCCTTTCTTTGCCATTTATATGATCCTGAAGGGTTCAGGACACACTACCCCAAACGAAGTATGGCAGCTTGGTATTTGAGAAAACAGCAGATGAGGAAAGTCTCTCATTTTCCCCTCACTTTTCTCCAAAGCAGGTGATAAGACCCTCACTCCAGAAGTATCCTCCTAATGCCCAGAAAAAAGGAACAACCTTGTCTCTGAAGACATAGAGAGTAATCACAGCAAACAGACCTCGTTGAGTTCCCCCAGTTTGTTACCATCACATCGTACCCCCTTTGTCCAATACTTCACAACTGTCCGTTTCTTCATCAAATTTAGCATAAAAATCTGTTTCCTTGTGTCTTTGGGTTTTCATTTCTGGAAGTTCCTGTGTCACATAAAACTTGTATTAAATAAATTTGTATGCTTTTCACTGATTAACCTTTTATTACAGATATCTCAGCTATAAACTCTGGATGTGTAAGAAAATATTTCTTCTCCCCTACAAACCTGATCATGTTTTCTAAGATTTTCTTCAGGAAAATGACGCTCCAAAATTTATTTCACAATGTTTTTCTGAGAATAAAAAAAACTGAGTTAGTAAAAGAGACACAGAGTGCTCATTGATGGTGTCCATTCCTATCCTTGATTACAAAAACACAAAATGACATATTCCACAGTCATTAGAAACTTGTACAAGATAAATATATCTTGCATAAAAAGGACAAGATAAATATATATTAAACTCTTAAAGTTTTTATTTCTAGAGATTGAGTGTTGAATATTTTCTTCACTCCATAGTTTCCAAATTTTCTAAAATAAACCTTTATGACTGTTATTACTTTTTCTTGCGGTAAATTATACGGAACATAAAACTAGCCATTTAAAACATTTTTCAGTGTCATTAAGCACATTCATCCCCTTGTGCGACCATCATCACCATTCATCTCTAGAACCTTCTTATCACAAACAGGTACTCTATACCCATTAAATCATAAATCCCTACTCTCCCCTCCCTTCTGCCCCTAGTAACTACTATTCTCCTTTCTGTCTCTATGAATTTGACTATTCTGGGTACTTCATACATATAGAATCATAAAACACTGGGTCTTTTCTGTCTGGATTATTTCTCATTTCACTTAGCATAATTTCTTAAATGTTCATCCATGACGTGGCATATATCAGAAGTTCATTCCTTTGTAAGGCTGAATAATAGTCCATGTGTATATACCACATTCTGTTTATTCATTCATCTATCTATGAATATTTTGGCTGTTTCCATTTTTTTATCTATTGTGACATAGGAATGCAAACATCTATTTGAATCTCTGCTTTCAATTCTTTTGGTTCTATACCCAGAAGTGGAATTCTTGATCATACTATAATTCTATGTTTACTTTTTTGAGGAACTGTACTGTTCTCCACAGTGGCTCTGCCACTTTACATTCCTACCAGCAATGCTCACAGAGCTTCCGATTTCCTCATTTCCTGGTCAATACTTGCTATTTTCCATTGTTCTGTTTCTAACAGCCATCCTAATGGAGTGACGTATAACTGATCATGGTAGTTGTTGCATTTTCCTAATGTGTTGACTTGCATTTCCCTAATGATCGGTAATGTTGAGCATCCGGTCATATTGTTGTTATTTTTTTAAGCTTTATTTTGTAAAGATCTATTTCTCTAGATAGTGCTTCTCAAACCTTAATGTGCTTCTTAATATCCTATAGATCTTATTAAAATGCAGATTCTGATTCAGCAGGTTGGGATGGGCATTAGATTCTGCTTACCTAACAGTCTTCCAAGTGATCTTCAGGTTATGCTTTGATTAGCAAGCGTCTAGGTGACCAGAGGGACCCAGCCAGGCTTGAATATTATACTTATTTGCACCTGGTCACCCATCTTTCTCTTTGCAACAAAACTTTCCAGCCCTATTTATCTTCTTTCTCAAGGGTCATAAGACCAAATGAGCAGAACATAGACTTTCTGAAACTTGACTCTTGTGGCATACAGCACTGGTGTCAAGGAGAATTAGACATCAACACATTCAAGCAGGACATTTAGACCCTTCATTTTAAGTGAGTAACTAAAAAAGAGGTTTTCTAAGTGGATAATTAGAGTAGAATAAAACAATCATACCAGTTTTCCGCTAAATCATGAGACTTCAAATAAATTTCCTGTATGTGTGGGCAGCGTAGATCTATATTCCTGGACCTCCAGAAGTCCTCTGTCATTTTCCTTCACCATGGGGATGCACCAGGAAACAATTTGAGAAGCCTCTGGTCCCTGAATTCAGAGGAGGGAGAAATGACGTAATAGGCTAAGATGGCCACAGTCACCTGACCCAGCTAGCATTTAATAAGAGAACACTTCCAAGGAAAGTCAACCCAGAGTTCGGATGAAAGCGATTTGATAAATACTTAAAGGTAGCTGGAAGCTACTCTGATTGTGACAGTGATCGAGTTACTCCTCAAGCAGTAGTGAGTAAAACAGGCATTGAGCAATTGTTACTGTTCCAATGAGTATTGCCAGCATAGCAGCAGCGGCCCCTGGGAGGGTACAACAGGAGGATTCAAACTAAGGAGTACGGCAAGCCCTGAGCCAGACACTGGAGTGGCAGGAACTCCAGGGGGAGATGGACCAGCAGCTAAAACGAACACATAGAGTAGTGATTCCCAAATATGAGTCTGTGTGCAACGTGGTAACTAGTCAGCAGAGAAAAGGTGAAAATAAGGACAGTTGTTTTTCATGAGGTTAAATATACTCCATGTGGGAACTGTCACTGGGAACTGAAATCTCCTTTTATAAAACACAAAGTATTTCTTTCTGCTGAGTGTATGATGGACTATATTGTTTGCTAAGAACAGTGGCAAGAAAAACCTGGCCAGCCCCACCAAGTGGAAAACTTCTTGGGGCATTCTAAAGTAGTAAAACAATATATGTATATCATACACCGGTTAAAACAATTCTTTAAGCACAGGATATGTGACCCTGCCCCCGTGGCTCCCTCATGGAGAAGACTTTCTAGTTTGTCCTCGTGGTAAGGACAGTGGTAAGCAGGCACCAGCTGCCTACCTAGTTTATCTTGATTCTATGAGAAAACACAGAGCACCTGTTTGTTAATAATAATCACCTGTTCAGAGAAACTACGTGGGTCAGAGTCTGCTCAAGGCCCTCAGCCCAGAATGCTGTCAGCCCTCTGAGGCTCTCAGCTCCAAAGGCTGCCAGCCCCCCAATAGTCCCACTTTGCTTTTCTACCTGGGTGTCTGCTTCTTAATTTCTTCAGCACCGCCTGGGTGAGGGTCTCTATGACTGAGCTGGCCTCGGTATCTTTCTCTTTTTTTTTTTTTTTTTTTTTTTTTGAGATAGGGTCTCACTCTATCACCCAGCCTGCAGTAAGTGGTGTGATCAGGGCTCACTGTAGCCTCAACCTCCTGGCTTCAAGTGATCCTCCTGCCTCAGCCTCCCAAAGCACTAGGATAACAGGTGCACAGCTCCACATCCAGTTCTAGACACTTTATAGACATAAAACTAATGGCATTGAGAAACTTGTGGCTTTGAGTTCAGTATGAACAGATGTTTTCTAAGCACCAATATCATCATCATTGCTAGAATTTTATAACTACTTGCTGTGTGCCAAGCAACAGACTAAGTGCATCACATGAATTATTTTATTCAATTCTCACAACCCTACTATAAGTAGGTATTACTGTACTTTTACACATTACCACTGAAGGAACTGAGGGTTGGGAGTTTATGTAACTTGCTTAGGCCACACAGCTGGTGAGAAGTGGGGCTGTGGTTCCTAAAGCCAGATATGAACTTCTGCTTCTTGCCATGATAGACTAACAGGGACTAGATTTACACTCCCACCTTTAAATCTAAAACTCTAAATAAAACATGTGAAACATTGATTGTCAGACATTGAGAAATACGCAAAGCAGGACAGTGATTCTTAAGAGAAGGGAAACAGGCCAAGCATGGTGGCTCACACCTGTAATCCCAGCATTTCCAGAGGCCAAGGCAGGTGGATCACAAGGTCAAGAGATTGAGACCATCTTGACCAACATAGTGAAACCCCATTTGAGACCAGCCTGGCCAATATGATGAAACCCCGTCTCTACTGAAAATACAAAAATTAGCTGGGCATGGTGGTGTGAGTCTGTAGTCCCAGCTACTCAGGGGGCTAAAACAGGAGAATCACTTGAACCCGGGAGGTGGAGGTTGCAGTGAGCCGAGATTGCACCACTGCACTCCAGCCTGGCAACAGAGCAAGATTCCATCTCAAAAAGAAAAAAAAAGGGAGAAGGGAAACAAAAAGATGAGTCCTATGATGCCTTAGTTCACTGTCTGGGGTGTTCCCAGGCTACGTTAAAGGAGGGAGGAACCAAACAGAGCCTAGCAATTAAAGGACACAATGTTTGGAGCTCTGGGAGGCCAAGCAGCTAAAATTTCTAGGCAGAATACTGTAAAGGAGACAACCACACAGAAGGAAAGCTACACAGAGATGCAGAGGTACCCCTTGCATCTGTAGTCTACACTAATCAGCACACGTGTTAGTTGGGAAACCACCGAACAGGGAGAGAACCATCAGAAAAGAGCAATCTCCAGAACTCACTCAGGGTCAGGGAATATTCTGCTTCTAGTAGCAAGAGTAAAATACCTCATAATACATGGGGTACAAAATACAGTACTCAAAAGTTACCACCTTAGCAATGAGGCTAAATTAATCCTATACTAAAAACTGATCTGGTCTTCCCTAACAAAGATTAAAAGCAAGTCAAAAGGATCAATTTGTTTCCAAGTAACTTAGCCACATCCCAGAATAAAGCCTAATAAAATTGAAGGATTGGAAAAAAACCTACACCTCAAAACATAACATTAACAATGTCTGCTATTCAATCAAAAATTTGTAGGCATGAAAAGAAGCAGGAAAAAGACCCATATCAAATTTATGGTGATGGAAAACAAGCAACGGTATAATGTCTGAGCTGAAAGGTTACACAACTAGGAAGTGGCAGAGCTTGAAGTTTCAACTCTGGACGGACTCCAGGTTTGGTGCTCACTGCACTACTAAACTAGTTTTGTGGCAGAAAAGACTGAGAGAAAGGCCAGTTAGGCATCATTTTCTTTCTTTCATTTTTTTTTATTTTTATTTTTATTTTTTTACTTAGCCTTGACTTGAAGCTCATATTTTCTTAATTAAGCCAATTGGCCCACACATGTAAGTAACCTTTTTAAAATTTCCCTGATAAGCAAAAGCTGGAAGCATTCCCCATAAGAACAGGAACAAGACAAGGATGCCTACTTTCACCACTCCTATTCAACATAGTACTGGAAGTCTGAGCAAGAGCAATCAGGCATGACAAAAAAATAAAAGTCATCCAAATAAAACAATGAAGTCAAATTATCTCTCTTTGCTGTTGATATGATTCTATACCTACAACAACCAAGAAACTCTGTCAAAAGGCTCCTAGAACTGATAAATAACTTCAGTAAAGTTTCAGGATACAAAATCAATGAAGACAAATCAGTAACATTTTTATACACCAATAGTATTCAAGCTGAGAGCCAAATCAAGAACACAATTCCATTTACGATAGCCACACACAAAAATAAAATAGCGAGGAAGACATCTAACCATCTAACCAAGAAAGTAAAAGATCTGTATAAGGAGAGCTACAAAACATTGCTGAAAGAAATTATAGATGACATAAATAAGTGGAAAAACATTCCATGCCCATGGATTGAAAGAATCAATATTGTTAAAATAGCCATACTGCTTAAAGCAATCTATACATTCACTGCTATTCTTATCAAACTATCAACATCTTTTTTCTCGGATTTAGAAAAAAACATTGCTATGGAATCAAAAGAGAGCCCAAATAGCCAAAGAACTTCGAAGCAAAAAGAGCAAAGTCAGAGTTATCACATTATCTGACTTCAAACTACTATAAGGTTACAGTGACTAAAATAGCATGGTACTGCTACAAGAGCAGATATGTAGACCAGTGGAACAGAATAGAGAACCCAAAATTAAGCCTCACATCTACAACCATCTGACCATCAACAAAGTTGACAAAAACAAACAAGCAGAAAAGGACTCCCTGTTCAAAAAGTGGTGCTGGGATAGCTGGCTAGCCATACGCAGAAGGAGGAAACCAGACCCCTATCTTTTACCATATGAAAAATTAACTCAAGATGGGTTAAAGATTAAAATGGAAGACCTCAAACTATAAAAATCCTAGAAGAAAAAACAGAAAATACCCTTCTCGACATCAACTTTGGCAAAAAATTTATGGCTAAGTCCTTAAAAGCAATTACAACAAAAATTGACAAGTGGGACCTAATTAAACTAAAGAGTTGCTGCATACCAAGAAAAACTATCAACAGAGTAATTAGATAATCTATAGAATAGGAGAAAATATTCATAAACTATGCCTCTGACACAGTTTTAATATCCAGAATCTATAAGGAACATAAACAATTCAATAAGCAAAAAACAAGTAAGCACATTAAAGAGTGGGAAAAAAGACATAAAGAGACACTTCTCAAAAGAAGACATAAAAGCAGCCAACAAACAGATGAAAAAATGCTCAACAGCACTAATCATCAAAGAAATGCAAATTAAAACCGCAATGAGATATCATCTTACACCAGTCAGAATGGCTATTAAAAAGACCAAAAATAACAGATGTTGGTAAGGCTGCTGAGAAAAGGGAACACTTACACATTGTTAGTGGGAATGTAAATTAGTCCAGTCACTATAGACAGCAGTCTGGAGATTTCTAAAAGAACTTAAAAACAGAATTACCATTTGACCCAGCAATCCCGTTACTGGGTATATACCCAAAGGAAAATAAATCATTCTAGAAAAAAAGACACATGTGTTTGTGTGTTTATTGCAGCACTATTCACAACAGCAAAGACATGGAATCAACCTAGATGCCCATCAACAGTGGATTGGATAAAGAAAATGTGGTCAGCCTGACACAGTGGCTCATGCCTGTAATCCCAGCACTTTGAAAGGCTGAGGTGGGAGGATTGCTTGAGCCTAGGATTTGAGACCTGGGCTCAAACTGGGCAATAATAAATTTAAAAATTAGCTGTGTGGGCCGGGCGCGGTGGCTCACGCCTGTAATCCCAGCACTTTGGGAGGCCGAGGCGGGTGGATCACGAGGTCAAGAGATCGAGACTATCCTGGTCAACATGGTGAAACCTCTTCTCTACTAAAAATACAAAAAATTAGCTGGGCATGGTGGCGCATGCCTGTAATCCCAGCTACT